AAACCCTAAACCCTAAATCCGAACCTTCCAAGGCGAGAGGTGGAGGGGAGCATCCGGGGCAAACCCTCCCTCATCGTGGAGACCTCTCGAGGTCGGGGCGGCTGCTGACTTTCGTGTCTCATCTAGGCTTTAGGGTTTAGGGTTTTAGGGTTTTAGGGTTTTAGGGTTTAGGGTTTTAGGGTTTAGGGTTTTGGGTTATTAGCGTTTTCAAGGTTCTAGCACGAGACAGTGTGGCTCGTCCCTTGACTTATTTGGGCCGCCATGGCACCAGCTTCAATCGGACCGCAAGATTGTGCCATATGCCCGTCAGTCAGCTCTTGATTGTCATTATGATCTTGACTGGGGCCAAGCAGTCGATTGGGCTGGGGTCTATCAGGGGGCGGTCCTAAGGGAATTAGTCCCGACGAGCACCCCCCAGCCTCCCCAGTCCCTGCTAGGGCGACAGTACCGCAAACCAAGCATGCAGCACGAGGAAGGGGGTAAATCAACTAACATGCATGTATTGATGGAGGAGCACATCTACGCCGTATGTGCGCACTACACACCCGGCCCCAATGTGCATACCCTCGGTCAGCCCTGGGACTCCTGCGAAGACATGGCACATTGACGTAAGTGATCGATATGCCTCGGACTTTCGGGACAATGTGGCCGCACAACGAAAAAACTGGTCACAGCGATGGTCTCCGCGCGATTGGAGATCTACATGTATTCCAGGTTGTATCGGTGGGGCTCCTTGGTTCAGACCATCAATGGTCGTGCGTGTTGGCACGTACACTTACAGGGTTGTAGCGTTGGTGTTCCCCCCTTTACTTGAACAAGGCCTCCCTCCCACTTCCGCCCGCGCCGTAGCATCGGTGCTCCCCGACAAATGCAGATCCAGACTTGCCAGACATTGAGGCCGCGCGACTATTTATTGGACTCCCCACGATTGGAGCTTGACACGTATTTGACGTTTCGAAGCATGAGCACCCCTGTTCGTTTTGATCCAAACCTTCCCCTGGCTTCTGCTGCTGCTCTAACCTGCATGGGGGCCATGACGTCTTCGGAGCCTCATGCCCCACTTGCGTCTCAACCCGTATGCATATAGACAACACGGGTGCCCATTCCCTTGCCATTGGATGACCCATCCATCTCTCTTATGACCGTGATTAGCACTATCCAGACTTTCCATTATGATTTCTTCGCCAGGATTGCCATTATGACATATCATGACATCTGCATCCCGATTGCCATCTAGCCTTCTGGCTACTGGTATGCCGTTGGAATTTCGCTTGACATTCTGACGTCACACCGACTGAATATGAGCAGATCGTCAAATTCAGGTCGATATACTCAGTTTCACCGCGACGATCAGACCCGCCGTGGAGGATGGTCTTTGCTTAGTTTTATCCTACCTGACCTTATATCCTCGATCTTGGCGCAGGTTTCCCACACGTATGCTGGAGGTTCCACGCTGGTCTATATGTCATCCCACGCTTTATCGCCGCACCGATGCCGGAGATGGGCGACTCCCTATGGTTAGCCCGCTTGACAATGATTCCTACGCTTGCGCATTTAACCAACCATGGGAGACGGTGGCCCCCAATACGCTGCAGCCGGTAACCTGTCTGTTAGGGCTGCTGGGTGCGCGCCCAAGCATTGCAGAGAGGCAGTTTCTGGATCACTAGCAGTATGACATGCGCCAGATTGCAGCAGTACGGTTGCCACTACAATTCCAGCTTATCATGCAACCCTGTGATTTAATTACTCCGCAGCAGTGCTGTTTAGGGGAGCAGACATGAGGCGAACCGGGGGACCACGGCTTTCCCATGCTCTATGCCAACGTCAATGGACTTATCAGGCGTTCTGTCTTCTATTGGCGAGTGGTCACGAATATCCCATGTGCGTCGGGTGAGCAAGTTTTTACCCCGCGGTGGCCGGAAAATGCACCCTAGTCCTGCCATCGTCTCACCCGGAATCGGTAACGAAGCGCCCTGAGTAGACTTGCCCATCGTGTATGTAGTTTCCCTGAGCTTGTTGCCCATGCCTTACGTTTCCGCCGATTTTTATGTTTTCCTCGCACGTTAGTCCCATTGAAAAGGCTGCTGACGAGCGGTTTCACCTGTGGACTGTGGACATGCTTTTCGCATGATAAAAGAGTAATTATGGCTTCACTATATAATCGCACCTCCGGTAATAACAACAACGGTTTACAAAACCAGGTATAATTACAGTCACGACTGCAATAAGAATAGCATAGCAATAATGTTTGTAATATTGAAAGCAATTTTAATCGTAATCAATACCGCTAAAATCTATTTGCGCCAAGCCGCATGCCATAAAACTTGTCAGGTCCACACATGGCGGTGAAGGGTTCAGGATCATTCCGACCCGCATGCCCTAAATCATGCCAAGGATCCCTCTGTCTTTACGAAACGGGTATTGGATTCTCTGTGATGAAAGTCAATAGCGTTGATACCTGCATCTTGGGCCAAAAGCTGAAAACTCACTGCTTGCAGGTTCTTTTCGCTGCGAGTGCCTCTTATCGGCGGTAGGACGCTGCGGCACGACGGAGGGCGCGGGCCCTGTGCTCTTTGCGTTTGGGCAGTTTTTCTGTTGCTGTTTAGGTTGGATTTGAGGGTCAGGCTTTGCGATAACAGAGTTCAGACGTTTCTGAGCCCATGAGGCCGCGAATGTCAAGGATAAGTCATAAGAGCTTTGGGTTGGACGAGATTCCGTCATTACCGGGCTTCCTTTGACAGGGCTCGGTTCAGCCGGCCTTCGTTCGTCCTAGACCGTACAGCCAGCTTCTAGGGTCGCAGGTCTGACGGCGTTTCTGCACCATGTGGTCAAGCTAGGGTAGCAATTTAAGCCGTAGAGGAGCCCGTAACATGAAAACCTTAACCCCTAAACCCTAAACCCCTAAATCCAAAACCCTAAAACCCACCATTCTAATCATCAAAACCCCTATATTGCTTTCGTCCCAAGCTCGACCAAGGGCTTGGGCTGGAGAAGCTGGGGGTGACGATCGGTGGCCTCGGTAGCATTTAGGGGGTTCTAAGGGCATTTAGGGTTAAGGGGTTTCTGGTAGGAACCATAACGAGCCCTAAGCCTAAGCCATAAATCCTAAACCCTAGACCCTAAACTTGTTTACAGGGTACTCCAAATCAGAGGTTCTGATGGACGGCTTGCTTTGGGATGAAAAACACTGGGGTCTGGCGGTTTGGGGCGCTGCGGGGTCACTGTTGTGTTTTTGAAGGGGCAGGTCGGGGGGTGGTAGTGTTTTTAAGGTTCTGGGTTTGGGGTTTAAAAAGTTCAGGTTGTTGAGGGCTTTTAGGTTCATGTTAGGGTTTAGTGTTTAGAGTTTCAGGGTTTAGGGCTTGTCAAGGGTGGGTTCCCCGAAAGCCCACGAATCCCCACAACTCGTAAAATCCACGAACACCCGAAACCCAGAAAGCCCTAAGCACCTAAAGCCCGAAATCCGCAACCCTCCCTCACCCAGAGAACCCAATACCCCTTAATGAAGGAATATACCCTAAATCATAATTTTAAGGCCCCTATAATTTAGGGTAAATTCCTGAACTAAGGGGTATTGGGTACTCTGGGCAAAGCTCAAGATTCTGCCTTTTGAAAGCTCAGTGGGTTAAACACTCGCTACGGCGTCTCAGTTCTAGATGCCGATGTTTCTAAGCAGCGAACACGGAGCGGGTGCACTTGTGGTGTCACCGGGGCCAGCCTACTAAAGGGACCTAGTAATGAGAAGACAGTCTCGGTGTAGAATGCACTGTGATTGGCAGAAGAGAACCCTAAACCCTAAAACCCAGAACCCTGCTTAATTCATCAGGTGTCTACACTATAATCCTAAACCCTAAACCCTAAGACCCTCAACCCTAAACCCTAAACCCTACCCCCTACACCCTACACCCTAAACATTATATTCTTAAAGGGTCTTGGAGTGGGCGCCGAATCGCTCGAACCTTCCCTTCAACAGACGAAGAGGGACGTGCAGTGATTCCGCCCAAAGACCTCTACCCCACGGTTTAGGGTTTAGGGTGTAGGGTTCAGGGTTTAGGGTTTAGGGTGTAGGGTTTGTCTTGCAATTTAACTTGTTCGGCATTGCTTCAAAGTTTGGGATTTTGGAGTTTGTGTCTTGCGAACCATGATAGGAGAAGGTATTGAGCTTCTTGAATTGGATTCGCGAATCGCAGTCTTCGACCTGCTAGTACTCTCTGCACTGTTCAGGCATTTTCCTTGCACAACACAAGCGGGTGGTTTCGGTGCGGAGTAAGGGTGGTTACTGATGATAAGCATGTTATCCATGCGCAGAATGATGAGACAGCCTTGGAGTTCTCGTCCTTGGTCCTAAACCCCAAGCGTCACTCCCTAAACCTTGAACCTTAACACCCTCAGCCGTAAGCACCAAAGCCAATCTGAGATATCATGTGCACCAGGTCGGGGGAAGATGATCCAAGTCGACGAGCTCCTTGTCTAAGACAGGGGCCTTCAGTAGAATGGAGCTTATGGTACATTATAATGTGACTAGTAAGACCTGTACCTTGTAGCCACCATGTATATAGTTATACTCTACGATAGGGTTGAGGCCTGCAGATTTCTCTAGTGCTGCTTCGATGCTATCAGGAGTCGAAGGGGGGAGTTGCCTTGAGAACACACGACCCGTGAAATCTGGAACTTTCCTGAACGAATAGGATCATTGGCACCGAAACCCTAAACCCTAAACCCTAAACCCCCTAAGCCTTAAAGTATCTGGCTGAATTATTGAGCAATCATGGTGCAAGCCCACAGTTGCAATAGTTTGAGCCCAAACTGCTGAATCAGTCGCAGCACCCAAGGACCTGACGCTTCCCAATATAGTGAGGCCCAGAAAGTTGGGAACATGGGAGAAGGATGATGAGTGCCTGGATTCCCCATACTCTACCCGAAAGCCATGAGTTCTTTGCGTATGCCATTGTGACAAGACGAGATACTTGCTCTGGGCACTCTTCCACGGCTTTGGTTTAAGGTACCGTCATAAGTCTATGATTCACTGCAAAGGCATGTTGCGGATGATGAATCAAGAGTAAGTTTTCCAGGAACCAGCATACCGGGGTGGCCAACATCTATGCCGTCGGAGATGTTGCTGGTGGGAATCTGGCGACCATTGGGCAGGCCCTCAGACAAGGGAAGACCTTTCGGTGGAAAGCCCCAAGACTCCAAACCCTACACCCTGAGCTGTTGAGGGGGTTCACATATTCTATACGTATTACAAGCCGATCGCTGGAGATTGTCTGGATACGTGCCCTGGCACATTCGTTGTACGCTAGTCACGCTAGTCCACTCAGGATGCGTGGCGGAGTTCGTAGTGAAAAGAAACTGTCTTGCGGAGAGATCGAAGCTGCAAACCTAAACCCTTAACCCTAAGCCCCTAAACCCTAAACCATGGATCCTGACTTCGCACTTTAGATTCCCAACATTTCCTAACTCCTGACAAGGCTGATGAGAGTTGCTTTCGTTTCGCAGAATCTCCGAGCGCGGAAGCCCTGAAACCCTAAAGCCCGAAAGCCACAGACCCCCCCTAAACCCAAAGCCCTAACGCCCTAAACCCTAAATCCTAAACCCAATCGCCCTAAA